CACACCGCAGGCCATTAATTCAAGTCCCTTGTAAGTCCCAAGGTCGGCAGAGCATGGCAGGCTGCTGAACAATGACACGGCTACTGCAGGATCCACACGTGCCATAAGCTAGAGACTATACCCAAGGCTTCTTCTTATATACAGGAAACAGACCACATCCCAGCTACTCAGCTGCTTGTGGTAGATCCTACCATGGAGTTGATTGCCAGTGTCATCATGGGAAATAACTACCACCAGCTGTCCAGCCACTGAACAAGTCCCAGCCAAACTGACATACAAATTTAACTACCACAATGGGTAAATATACAGATTTCTAGGCTTGTTTACTGAGTTTGGAGAATGATCCAGAAATCAGTATGTTTAACCAGCATTTCAGATAATTCTTATCATTAGGCAAGTTTGAGAAACTTTGCAGAATAGGTAGAAAAATGAATGAGATGCCAGGCTAAGCACCTTATCTGTTTTACCTTATTTAATGCTCACAAAAACCTCAGGAAGTAGGAGCTAGTATCACCAGTAATTTACAAATGAGGATGGTCACAGAGCTCTTGTGTTCAGAGTTAGGAAGAAAGGCAGCAGATGACTCCATATCCTATGCTCTTAACCACTATCCTGTTCCATCTCCCTTGGAACATGAACATGATAGTGCTGTGACATCTTTGCAAATGATGAGAGTTTTGTGCCTGAGAAGATATGCCTAGGGAATGATATGGGCCAAGTGAGGATATGGGCATGAAGTGTTGGAACCTGGCAGAGATTTCTTAATGTAATGTAAGTTCAACTCATTCATTTCGTAGATAAGGAAAAGGAGCTCCAGAAAAGTATGTGACTTGCCTAAAGGTACACAGCTTAGTTGACGCAAAGCTGTCTAGGGGTCCACATGGCATGTAGCCCTCTCTTGATTATGGACAATAGGAGGGCAAACTGGGATTGTCCTTGGATGCTTTGAAAAAGGAGGTCGGAGCTATTCTATAGGTTTTTGAGTGAGGTCTGTCTGCAGGGTAGCTCTGGTCACCCCAGCCTTCTCCTTCTGAACCGAAGTCCCTCCGCCCCGGGGTACTCCTCCCATTCTCCAGTACCACACTGCCCCCCACCACTTCACCGCTTTCCGGAAAGCAGTTCTCTTATGCGCTTTTACACAAGAGGTAACAACGACTGACGACGAGCCTAGTGTGCAGTTGGGTTCACCCTGGGGAACGAGACTTAGGTTGGACCCAGCGTGTCAGGTGAGGGCTGCTTTGTGGGCAGGAGAGTGGTTTTTCCTGTGTCTTTTAAATTTCATCAGCTAAGCCAGGCCTTATCTCTTACCCTGACTAGGTGAACCGGTGGAGAAGTCCCCGTGCCCTGGGGCAGGCAAAGCCCTGCGGAACGGGAACAGCTCGCGTAGGGTCCGCGGCGAGCCCTGCTCACGGCCCTGGAGTCCTTGCTCCTGTCCGAGGCAGTGGTTCCGGAGCCTAAACCCGAGGAACAGGCACCGCCCTGGGGGGCCCGGCTCCCTCTGGGGTGCCCTTACCGCGAGCTGCCCCCACTGTCCTCCGACACTCGGGTCTGGGGGCGGTTCCCGGGTCCTCAGCTGTGCGCGTGCCCAGGCAGCCCCCGGCGTGCCTGGCTCAGAGCCCCGACCCCAGAGTCCCTGGGAACCTCGAGGACCCTACCTGAGCACGCCTCCCCGAGCCACAGGCCAGAGCCTTACCGCCCTGCGGACACCAGGGGCGGGGACTGTGAGTGAGGGCGGGCCGGGGCCGGGGGTGGCTACGCCGCGGAGCCTCAGCTCTCGGAATCGGTCCCGGCGGCGCGGCCTCAACTCCCGGGCAAAAGCCCCCAGAGTTGGGAAGGAGCACCGGGAAGAGGAAGAAGCAAGACGGGAGGAGTCATCTTCCCGCGGGCTTCTGAGAGAAGCGTCTCCTTATCTGGATCACCGAATAAAGAAGACCGGACCTCGTCCGCAGAGCGCGGGATACCGGGCAAGTACTTAGCGCGCGCTCCGGGGAGATGCTCAGAGAACTACAAGCGGCGCTGACGAGGAGCTGGGGCTTTTGAGTGGGGAAGGGGCTTTGCGAGAGGCTTGCCCTTGTCTTCGTTTTCTCTTTTTCAGGGAAGGCGGGCTACTCCCTCTTTTCTGTCTTTAGGCATAGCCACCCCGGCTCCAAAGAGAAACTTGGGAAACCAAACCAAAAAACCAAACGCACTGCCATCGATTCTGATCTAACTCATAGCGACCCCTCCTTGGGTTTCCGAGGCGATGTTGTTGTTGTTATTTGCCATCCAGTCGGACCGACTCATAGCGACCCCTCCTTGGGTTTCCGAGGCGATGTTGTTGTTGTTATTTGCCATCCAGTCGGACCGACTCATAGCGACCCCTCCTTGGGTTTCTGAGGCAGTATCACTACGGAAGTAGATTGCCCAATCTTCCTTCCTAGGAGTGGGTTTGAACCGCTAGCCTTCTGATTAGCAGCCAAATGGCTTAGGCACAGGTGAGGGCTTATCAGCCCAGACTGCAATGAGGAGCTTCTAGCAGTCTGAAGGGGACCAGGGGGAAGCGCCAAACAGCAGGGACTCGAAAGAACAAGGAGTGGGGATGGAATTTCTCCCTGAGTGGTGAGAATAAAGGAGAAAAGGTCGCTGGACAGTTTTTGCTCACATCATAAAGTTACCAATTTCCCCTCCATTGTCGAAGTTTCTATTTTTGTTTTGGAAACCTGAGTTTGCCCCCCACCCCCATCCCAGGTAACATGCTTATAGGAATAGCTCTCCAGAGGTGGCATGTCTGAGTTTGGAGAATAAATGGAATTTTGAAACGCGTTGCCTGCCTGCAAGGATGGACGACTCTGCCTCTAGGACTGCATTTGTACTTGCTGGGGCTTCGCGACTGGGTCTCTGTAGTCTTTGAAGCTGTAGATTCTGTTTCTCACACCTGACAGGGACCAGCACTGGACGGAGGGTTCAGAGGAAGGGCAAAATATGAGAAAAACTGGAGTGTTGGAGGAATTGGAAGGGGGGCAGGAATGGAGGGAGCTAAGGAGCTCTGGTAGCATAGTGGCTAAAGCACTTGACTGCTAACCAGAAGGCTGGCGGTTCAAACCCACCTGCCACTCCTCAGAAGGAAGGTTGGGCAATCCTACTTCTGTAGTGATACTGCCTCGGAAACCCAAGGAGGGGTCGCTATGAGTCGGGGCCGACTCGACGGCACACAACAACAACAACAACAACAAACCTTATTAGAGTGCACAGGACTTGGCTGCTAAAGACAGACTCCAGGTGTCAAGCCTTTGATGAAGTGTGGGCAGCAGCTTTCCTAAGGGTGCTCAGGCTCCTTATTTTTCCCAGGAACCTGAGACTTATTAACACTTTTCCCTTCCCTTTTCTTTCCCCTGACATTTGGGGTGCTCTCCAGACCCCAGCTGGTCTGATATTTTCAGTCATTGGAGGGTCTACAGGGAGAGGACAGGGGAGAGAGGAACTCTGAGCTTTCTATCTGTCCAGAGTGGTGCTGCTGACCTCCCCTGCATCCCTCCCTCACCCCCAGACCCATTGTGTGTGAGCTGGAGTCCTAGAAGTCAGGATTTTCCTCCTTTTCCTTGCAGCTGACTGACAAGGACTGAGTACTCAATAGTAATTCCTTGCAGTTCTAGAGTGTAACACAGTCCCTCTCCAGGGAGCTCTGTGCTTTATAGACATTATTGATCTCCTCCTGCCTGGAGAATATTGAAACCCTGAGTGTTTAAGCCATTTACCTCTGGACTCACAACCAGCCAAGAAAGAATTTTGCTTGAGGGCCCCTTTCTGACTCATTCATTCAGTGCTTGGGACTTGACTTTGACCCTGTGGCCTCTTCTTGGAGAAATAGTTTTTTTAAAAAAAGTTGATGTAGAGTCAATTCTTATTCATGGGGATCCCAAATGTGTCAGAGTAGAACTGTGCTCTATGGAGTTTTCAATGACTGATTTTTCAGAAGTGGCTTTTATTCCGAGGTGTCTCTGAGTGAGCTCAAACCTCCAACCTTGCAGTTGGCAGCCAGGAGCATTAACCTTTTGCTCCACCCAGGGACTTGGTAAATGCTATGCTGGGTTTCTAGAGTATGATTTTAATGTAGGAACAGGAAACCCAATGAGGAGAAGGGAAGGTAGCAGCTAAATAGGCTTTGTGATGTTTAGAGCCCTGTTTTGTCAAAAGGAAGGAGACCTGCTCCTGGAGAGCAGAAAGGATTGTCTCGAAGCCCTCCCTCTCCAATGGTATCCAGAGTAGTTTGTTGTAAGGCACTGGAAAGGAAGGTATTGCTAGCACAGAATGGGATACATCTAGAAAAGACAAAGTTCAGGCTGTCAGGGCAGTGAATGGAATTTGGAAAATGAGTAGTACGTAAATCACTTCTCTTTTTTTATAGCCTCCCTATACTCCCAACTTTGCTCCTTCAGAAAAGGCTCAAAATATCTGTGTCTTCAGTGAAGTAGAAATAAACTGAGTCAGTGCCTGGTTGTTTCTACAGCAATATAACCTCCCCTGAGTGAGTGGGTCTGTGGCTTTTTGTTCATTGTTTTTTGTCATTTGTTTCTTTATTTCCACTTGGTATAGTGCCTAAAGCATTTGACTGCTCACTAAAATGTTGGCAATTCAAATCTACCAAGCACTCTGCAGGAGGGAGAGTGGGCAATCTACCTACATAAAGATTTACCACCTCAGAAATCCAAAGGGGGTCACTATGAGTTGGAATAGGCTTGATGGCAGTGAGTTTGGTTTGATATCCTATGATCACTTTGAGCAGGTGGCTCATGGGTTTGCAAAAGTTATAAGATGGTTTTAAATGCTTCATTCACACAATTGTTTGTCTTTCAAAGGTTCTAGAATGGAGCTTGGATGCTGTGGCCAAGGAGGTTGGCAAGGAGATTGACTCTGTAAGGGAAAGCAGAGTACCAGCAGAGAGGGGAGATCTCCAGCCCTGAAGACATTGCCTCAGGGGAATTCCCAGAAGTGCACTCACACTCCACCTTTTCCAGATAGAGATAACCATGGGAGATAGGGATGACAATGCCACCAACACTTCCACTAACTTCCTTTCTATGCTTGACCCCCATGGAGTCCTAGGTGCTCCTTTCCCATTCAATTTCAGCTATGGGGACTATGATATGCCCTTGGATGAAAATGAGGATGTGACCAATTCTCGGACTTTCTTTGCTGCCAAGATTGTCATTGGCATGGCCCTGGTGGGCATCATGCTGGTCTGTGGCATTGGCAATTTCATCTTCATTGCTGCCCTGGCCCGCTACAAGAAACTGCGGAACCTCACCAATTTGCTCATTGCGAACCTTGCCATCTCTGATTTCCTGGTGGCCATTGTCTGCTGCCCATTTGAGATGGACTACTACGTAGTGCGCCAGCTTTCCTGGGAGCATGGTCATGTACTGTGCACGTCTGTCAACTATCTGCGCACTGTCTCTCTTTACGTCTCCACCAATGTCCTACTGGCCATCGCCATTGACAGGTAAGCATGGGGGCAGTGGGGAAAACAAAGGTGATGATAGAGAAACAGGCATCATAATTAATCTTTCCTTCACCATCACCACTGTGGATTGCCAGAGGTATCTGTGTTTCTCTTAAATATGTATATATGTTGTTGTTGTTGTTGTTATGTGCCGTTGAGTCGGCCCCGACTCATAGTGACCCCTCCTTGGGTTTCCGAGGCAGTTTTCACTACGGAAGTAGGATTGCCCAACCTTCCTTCCGAGGAGTGGCTGGTGGGTTTGAATCACCAGCCGTCTGGTTAGCAGGCAAGTGTCTTAGCCACTATGCTACCAGAGCTCCCAAATATAGGGGCTCACAAATTTCCCCATTGATTGAACAGTGAGAAGAGCTCTTGTTTTCTGGCTGTGGTCAGGAAGGAGGTAGCAGAGCCTTCTAGAGTTGGTGAGTAGGAAAGGTTTTGATCCTCCAGCTGAATATGCTTTTAGATGTCTTACCTGTTCAAGGTCTGGAGGTAGACAGGTACAAGGAAGTGTTGGCCATAAACTCCAGGCAGTTATCTCTTGAGTCCACCTGGAAATTGTGAAGGTTTCCATCTCATTTATACTTCCTCTACTACAACATGCCTTCCCTAGCACCAGACCCACTGCCATCAGATCAATTCTGATCATCATAACCCTACAGGACAGAGTAATTCTGCCCCATAGGGTTTCCAGGGCTATAAATCTTTTACGGAAGCAGACTGCCTCATCTTTTTTCTGTGGAGTGGCTAGTGAGTTTGAACTGCCTACCTTTTGGTTAGCAGCCAAATGCTTTAACCACTGTGCCACCAAAGCCCCTTTCCTAGCACCAGTTGACTTTAAAATAAGATTGCTGGATTTGTTTGGGGTGGGGGGAAGGAGTAGGGGATATGCTGGTTTCCTCTTTTTATTTTGCATTAACCAGTTTGTTCCTTTTCATACATTAAGCCCTGTTCTAACTCACTGCCATTGAGTTGAATCTGACTTATAGCGACCCCTCCTTGCGTTTCCAAGGCTACGTTTCCAATCACTACGGAAGTAGATTGCCCATCCTTCCTTCTGAGAAGGGGCTGGTGGGTTTGCACTGCCAGCCTTCTGGTTAGCAGTCAAATGCCTTAGGCACTACACCACCAGAGCTCCTAAACCCCAGTCTAGTGATGTTAAAAAAGAGTAATACGAGCAGTATACACACATCTTTCTTAAGTTTATTTTCATTTATTTTAATCAGCAGTGTTGATGGGTCAGGGTTTATGGCTCTTTGAAGGAGTCTTTACAAGCTCCTCTGCCCAAAGCTGGACACTCTTACAAAGCACCTTTCTCACTGTCTACAGAGTTACCCTGAGGCTCAAATCAGGCCTCCATGTACTTGTATCTGAACAGGCTGTCTCTCTCTCTTAACCCAGAGAGCCTGAAGCACAGATGCGCTCCCTCTTCCATAGCCTCAGGACATGGTGGGGTTCAACCTGCCTCACAGTCAGGGCACCCTAGGACAGTTGTAGGAAGGGACATGGCTAATGAAGCATGTTTTCTGATGTTATTAGCAGGGCAACCAGGGAGAGGATAACCTGGAAAAGGATCATTCCTGTGGAAAGGGGGTTAGTAAGGAGTCTGGCTTTAAACTACCTGAGGGACAGAGCCTCTAACTCCCTTCTTCAGAGAAGGGTGTCAAGAAGTTGACAGCTTGAACTATCCTTAGTCTGTCTCCTCTGGAAGGTGCTTAGAAGTGTCATGCTTGCAGAGGGCTCCTTCTCCTTGGCCAAGGTTCTCCAAATGAGTCACGGAGCGCCATGGTATTGTGTCCACCCAGGCATGGCCTGTGAGTGAACCTCCCAAGAGAGCTGGGGGAGGGCAGTTAAGCAAAGTATCTGCCCCCTGGATCTCCTTCAAAGCTTTCAAGAGACTTTGTCTCTTTTTTTTTTTTATTTGAGTCAATCTTTTTTGGTTTGTTTTTATTGTGATTTAGGTGAAAATTTACAGAGCAAATTCAATTTCCAGACAGCAGTTCACATACACTTTGTCTCATGATACTGACCTCAATTCACCCCAATGCAACAGCTCCCTTCCCACTTCCTCCTGACAGTCACCTCTTCCCTGTGTCCATCCCTCCATGCACCCCTGCTGCTTGAGCTGTCTCCCTGTGCATAAACAGCCCTTCTTTCTCCCATAATTGTTTTCTACAATGATATCTACCTCAGGTAAATGTTCAACTCCTATGCCTGTCTGTTGTTGGCTGGAAGCCACAGGTGTGGGTTCAATTCCAGACCTGAAGGGCAGCTAGGGGCCATAGTCTCAGTGGTTCCATCAGGTCAATCAGACCAGCAAACCTTGTCCCCTTTTTTTTCGCAAATGATTTTGAATTTTGTTCCACATTGTTCTCCTCTCTATCAGGATCTACATAGATCCCCCTCTGAGTGGTTGACAGTGGTAGTTGGGCACCATCTAGTTCTTCTGGTCTCCATAGTTGTATAGGCTGTGGATCGCATGGTGTACTGGTCGCTAGGACTAAATGTTTCCATGAATTTTTGATTTCCTTCATTCTTCTTTGCTCTGGATGAGGAGAGACTCAACGTTGAATGTAGATGGCTGCTTGCGAGCTTTTAAGATCCCAGTCGCTACTCGCCACAGTAGGAGGTGGAACACTGTTTTGTGCAGTATGTTATGCCAGTTGAGCTTGACGTCCTCTGCAACTATGGTCCCGAGTCCACAGGTTCAACTACTTGGTCCCTCTGGGTAGCTGGCTGTGACCAAGCAGTGACTACAACCTTGCCCCTTGTCAGCCCTACTATACACTTGGGAATTCAGATCATACACATAAATTTATAGGACTATTGTCTGCCAACCCTATACATGTTCTTGGGTACACTCCCCACTTCATAGACATACCTAATAGTTCAGCCTGTCCACCCATCTATCCACCGATATACCCATGTTTGCCTTCACTGACAACACAGTACTATATGTGTTGTCTGTACCTCCCATGTACCTCTCTATGTCTTTCTCTTTCTCAGTCTCACCATATGGATCACTCACATTTGGTACATTGCCCTTCTCTTCACCCAAATCAATACTTATCTCTATCTACCTAACAGTGTCCCCTCCCCTCCCCTCCCACCCCTGGAAACCAACAAAGAAAATATCCTTCCATAGATAAACATTTCCTTGACTTTTACAATAACGGACTAATACAATATTTGTCCTTTTGTGA